GCCCCCGCGCTGCCCGCGGGGGCGTCTGACCCGATGGCCCGGCCACACGCTGCCATGCGTTTTGGGGGACAGGAGCAGGCTTTTCTGTTTGCACCGTGCTTAACCCGGTCTGGGGTCTGGGCTGTTGGGAAGACCGGAGTCGGTGTGCCGGTGTGCCCGTGCGTACCCACAGCTCCGCAGCTCTGCAGTGCCGTGCGACCGTCGCCGTATAGGGGACACCATGTCTACGGTGGGGTTCCCCTGCCCCGAGGATGCGGGATTGGGCACGGGGACAACGTCTCAGGAAGGCTCCGTGCCTCCTTCCCGGGGTCTGACAGAGCCCCCGCCGCCGCCAGCGGGCTGGCCCTGGTTGGGTACTTTTGCTTTGGATCCAACCAGCTTTGTTTTCACGCCACGTTCAGGACAAAAAGTAAGAAATCTACTTGTTGGGGTATTGCTTTGGGTTGGTTTTTTTGGTTTTTTTTTTCCCCTTGACAAGTTGAAGGATCCAAAATAAGTAATGAATTGGGAACGCAGTCGGATGGTTATTCCAGGAGCAGCGTTGGAGTTTCGCATTATTTGAGTGCACGACTGTGACCGGGTTCAGGCTCCACACCGATTTTTTTCAGCATTAAAGCACTTCCTTTTAGTCCAGCGTCCTCCCGGAGTGCAGAATAGATCCAGGGGTCTTGAATACAGCAAAAACTTATCGGCCTGTTCCTCCGCCCTCGCGCTTCGCTTTCGTTAGAGCAAAAGAATGCGGACAGCATTTTGATTTTTGGCTGTAATTTTATTTGTTCCCTGGATTGGTGTCAGCTACCCCAAGGACACCGAAGTAATGTGGTTTTAGGAAAGAGTCATTTTACACCTGGATCTTGCAGGAGCCAAATTCAAGTCTTCAAAAATATTCAAGGCTGATTTAAAATTGTTGGGGGGGTGGTGGTGTTGGTGTTGGTTTTGGTTTTCTGTTTGGGGACTCACCTGGGTTTGTGTGCCTGGTTTGACCTTCAGCGTCTCAGGCTTTTGCGTGTGGCCCACGTGCACGCTTCGCTGTTGTGGGAGGGTGAAACAGGGTCGCTTTTACACGAATATTGAGATTTTTAGGTGATTACCCCTGCAGGAATGGAAGGGAGAAGATGAAGCAGCAAGCGTGGTGGGTGGTGTTTGGTGGCTGCGCCAGGGTCCCCGCTAGCCGGTGGCAAGCCCAGGGGCACGGGGCGCAGTGCGGGCACCGCGCCTGGGAGCGGGGACAGGAAAAGCATCCCCAGCACCTCCAAATTGCAGGTTTCTTTTTCTTTGGAGAAATATCCCCGTGGGCTTCCCGTATCCGTAGGCATGTGTGTGTCTGTGCATCCCATCGTGTGGGCAGATCTTCACAGGGAGAAAGCGCAGTGAACGTAAACCAGCAGCAATTAATGGATGGGCTGTGGTTCTCCTTGAAGGATCTGGAAGTGCTTTACCAGCATTAATGAGACCTCGATGTGCTGGACACCAGGATCCTCTTTACTTCTCCTTCCCTGGGCGAGCAGCCTGGTGGGCATCCCTGGGGTGGCCCTGCAAGCCCCCGTGCCGCCAGCCCCTGCCTCCCTGGGGCAGGACGGGGCTGTTTTGAGGGGCTGGGATGGCAGTCGGGGAAGGACATGCGCTCAAGGGCTCTTGTGTCATCCTGAAACAGGTTTCAGAATAATAATAATAATAATAATAATAATAATAATAATAATAATAATAATAATAATAATAATAATAAAAATAATAATGGGTTTCCATCATGGGAAGAAGCAAATACCATGCGCTTTTCCCCCGCCAGGAGAGATTAACCCTTCGTTTCCCTCCCCCGCAGCGAGGACCCGTGGCGGGCGGCGAAGATGATCAAGGGGTACATGCAGCAGCACAACATCCCGCAGCGGGAGGTGGTGGACGTCACCGGCCTCAACCAGTCTCACCTCTCCCAGCACCTCAACAAGGGCACCCCCATGAAGACGCAGAAGAGAGCCGCCCTCTACACGTGGTACTGCGGCCGCCCGGGGATCGTCCCTGGCTTTGCCCCTGGACCCAGGCTGCCTAGCATCTTCCCCAAAATACTTTTACAAGTCAAATGAATTTAAGGCACAGGAAAACTGGGTGAGAGCCCGTCTTGGTCACATTAATGCTGTGCAAGTTCCTCCAAGCCCATCTGCACAGCTGAGTTTCTGCATATTTATATTCCTTAGAGGTGGGAAAGCAATTAATAATTACACACGATTAGATGCCTTTCCCACCTCTGCCCCCTTTTCCTCTCTGTTTCTCCAGACTGCTCATTTTCTGCAACTACTTGCAAAAAAAGTACAGAGAGAGAGAAGAAAAAAACCCCTGTGAATCGCTCCTCTCTGTAGCAGGGTCGCAGGCAGTCCGTGCTATTTCAGACGCAGATGATTCTGACCAAGTACACAGGCTTTGGCTTTTGTGCGCCTCTTCCACGGACCCCTGCTCCCGGCTTGGTCCCACACGGCTCGAAGTAGCCCCGTTTTTGGCCGAGGTGCAGGTTGGGGCACTGACACCCCCCTTAAACGGGCTCTGCCTCCCTCCTCCCGAAGGATGCAATAGCCAGCAGATGGGAAGTGCAGAAAAGGGTTTAGCACCAAATCCCGTTGCTTTGAAAACACACCTGGAGACATTAGAGCAAAGCGAGCCCGCTCCAGCCTTGCCCTGCGTTTTCCCCCCTCGTCACAGGGGGAAAAATCATTATAAAAAGAGGGAGAATTCCCCTGCAAACCTGAGAATAATAAAACCCTCCCATTAATCTCCCTTTACTGCCGCGGTGACAAGCACCGGGTCTGAGGCGGGCCGCCGGGGAAGGTCACCCCTGGTGCCTGCCCGCCCCGGGCGCGGGGCTGGCGTCCCACTGCGCTGGGAGGGGAGCGGGAGCCGTCGGGGAGCTCTGGGCGAGCAGGGAGAGGCACCCCCTTTGGGGGGCTTTGCAACCATCCTGCCTGGCTCCTAGCGTGCAAAAATCCTCCCCAAAACAAGTGCACGCCGGCTGAGACCCGGTCCATGAATACGCGTGCCCTGAGCATGCCGCCCCATTAGCCACCCGGCCTGGAGGGGTGGGAATAACCCCCCTGCCAGCGTGCCAGGCTGGCCCCCTCCCTGGGGTGGGTGGCAGGGAGCACCCGGCTTGCTCCAAAGCGCGCCGGGGCCGCGGGCTTGGGGTGCTGCGGGAGGG